TTCAACCGCATGCTGAGCTCGTAAGGAGTTATCCAAAACATCCTTCCACTACAGCATGTTGATTAGTCATTGAGGACAAATAAACATATATATATATACTGATACTGATACGACTTATACTTAGCTTCAGCCTTGACTGTCCAGGAGGATGCTGGCAGGGCCTCTCCCCTGAAGAAATGGTGTCGTCTTGTATTGTTGTATATCAATTTCTCAGATTCCATGCACCTCACATAGCAGCAACCCGCCAATTTGCGCCTTATTTTATGTTCAACTGATGAATGTGAGAAGACAATAACCATGTGGGTTCATCATGCACCAAATTACATCAAATTACCTTTTGGGCACCTGCCAGAGGTTTGAGGAGGGATGCCTAATGAAATGTTTTCCTGCACTGCGACATGTTTGAGTTTCTACCTGTCAAGATGTTTTTCTTCGACAGATCGGACATGTGTTGCACAGTTTGTGGTAAAGGAGCGTTGTATCCTCTAGATTCCGATTGTGTTTGGTCCTAGTTCTTGCTCTTTGTGTTGGCACCAGTGTCAGCGAAAGGTTGATCGCAAATACGAAATGGGAATTGTGGTGCTTTCGATGAGGCGTGAAGCCATTGTTAGTTAGGTTCCTTGTAGCTGTGTAGCTGTTTTGTCGAATGGAAGGGGCCCAAAGCCGGCAAGATGGAATTAAGAGACCCTGAAAAAAAGGTGCAACATCGATGTCTAGGGTTTGGGCTCTGGCGGCTCGAGTCTGTGTGTTTACCCGCTGCTCATCGAGGAGATTCGATTGACATTTTCTGCTGGTGACGCCAAAGTTGCTTGGGAGAAGCAGGTGGGATTGGGTTCAGGAGATGTGCGGACTTTGGCCTGGGCCTTCAAGAAGCCTTGGCAGATGCCTGATTCACAAGATATGTGTAAAGGAAGTATGTGCAGTAAGAATATGGACAAAAGTGCGTACACAGTTTGGGCATACTTTGCTGCTTCGAACACGGGCATCTGAAAACGTTTCCCAGGATCTAAGTCGGCACAGTACAATCTTGCAACAACAGCTTGTGGAAACCTGCCTTTTCTCCTGATGGTGGCAGAGTCTGGAGACTGCTTTAGTGCTTCGCCCTATGGCCCTATGGCTTAAGCCAGCCAACCAGGTCGATGTGGAGCGTGGAACTACGGCTGTTTTGACAGGTGTGGCCATTGTTCTAAACCCCTGCGACCGCCAGCCCAACCTTAAGTGTGTGATCTACATGACCGCCGTCATGACTGCCAACAATTTGGTCACGTGTTTCCAAACAACTGAGCTGTTAAGACAAAAGGGATACTGCCAATCGATTGGAGGTGCTTCTGCAAAGATGTCAATTGAGTTCGGTCCTTCCTCATACGGAGCTTTTTGGATTAGGCCAAAGCGGTCAAAGCCTATCGTATGCATTGCTCCTTGTACGGAAGTGGTATGATATACTGAACCCACAATGGTAGCGTTTACATGCAGCTGATCATGCTGACTGCACTCTGTTGTTCTTGTTGTTGTTGTTGTTCTGTATGTCTATTGTAAATTTAGTTTGTATGAACTTGATATATAATATATATATATATATTGTTTATACGTTCTTTCAGTTTGATTAAAGACAAAAACCGGACTCGCAGCTTGTGCTTTTTCTTTCTTCGCAGGTGGGCTAGTCCGAGGTTTGAGGCCTGACGAGGCTTCCGTGGCGATGCGGCTGCGAGCGGCACTGAGCGTCACCTGGCAAGTCAGATCAAGATTTGGGGACATAGAACAAACATGTTCTTTGTTTTAACAATTTCACAGACATAGTTACAAACGAACGCTTTTAAATACCTGACAGTCTTTCCGTATGATTGTTTATGTCCTTTTGTAAAGACCGTTTACACCGTTTTTTCTTTTTGTGTTCTTTCATTGTTTTTCTTTTGAAACTTAGACTTAGACATGTTTTTCCTTGACATAAATGTGCACCTGTTTACCACCGGAGTTTGTAGCAAGTGGCCAGCAACCCAGAACACATTTAAAGGATTGATATGGGTCTTCGCTGTTTGCTCAACGCACAAGTCCTTCACCGTTCAGACAACGAAGCTACCCGGTCCTCCACCCACCATCCCTCGTACCCCCAACAACGACGACAACAACAACTACTACTACGACCACTACTATCACTACTATCACCACTACATCACTACGACTAACACTACTACCAAAAAGACGACTACTACTACTACTACCACTACTACTACTACTACGGTAACGCTTTTTAAATATATGGTGGCCTGGCCAGAGCCATCGGCTCCGGAGGTAGTATAAAATACCTGTTCCCACCGTATATTTAAAGGGTCTGGCCGGGCCAGAGCAATCGGCCCCGGAGGTAGTATAAAATACTTGTTCCCCGTATATTTAAAATGTAATCACTGTTGACATTTCTTTTACGAAAAGGGAGAGCTTGAGGCCCTTACAGAGAGGCCATGTTGTAACGAGACAGTTTTTGGGACCTACAGAACCCGATTTTTGTAGAGACATAACTTTATGCTTTCTGCCCAGCAACTAGGTCGATCTAGCTTTTCAAACACTCTCACAGGAAGTAGAACTCATCAAGGACTCTTACTACTTTCAGGGCTGCAGGTTGTATGGGGAGGTGCCACACCACCAAATCAAAACCACCAGGGCCGCCTGGACCACCAAGACCAATTGCACCACCAAGACCACCAGGACCACCAAGAGTAGACTGCCACAATCACCAGGACCACCAAGATCGCCTGGACCACCGGACCCAAGGCCACCATACCCACGAAGACCACCAAGAGCACCATCAACACCGCCTAGACCGCCACAATCACCACCAAGACTACCAAGACCACGGAGACCACCAAGACCGCCAAGGCCAGCAGCACCCCCCACAACAACAAGAATAGACCGCCACCATCACCCCCAAGCCGCCCCAGACCACCAAGATACCAAGACCGGACCACCAAGGCCACCGACCACCAAGACACCAAGACCGGACCACCAAGGCCACCGAGCACCACCAACACCGCCTAGAGCGCCACAATCACCGCCAAGACCAGCAAGACCACGGAGACCATCAAGACCACCAAGGCCACCAGCACCCCCCAAGACCACCAAGAGTAGACTGCTACAATCACCACCAAGACCACCAGGACCACCAAGACCACCGACCACCAAGACACCAAGACCAGACCACCAAGGCCACCGAGCACCACCGAGCACCACCAACACCGCCTAGACCGCAGAAATCACCACCAAGACCACCGAGACACCAAGACCGGACCACCAAGGCCACCGGGACCACCAAGAGCACCACCAACCGCCTAGACTGCCACAATCACCACCAAGACCACCGGGACTACCAAGACTAAAATAGTCTGAGCGAGATACTGTGACATGACATGACCTTCTACTTAAGTAGTCGAAACGAGATAGGGCCTCCACATGATAGATAGTGCGTTTGAGCTCAGTACCAAATAAATGCCGCCGCACATACGTAAGCTGACCGTATATTTAAATCGTACCGTATATTCATTCCGTATGTTTAAAGGGTCGGGCCGGGCTGGCAAAAACCTTGCCGGAGGTAGTCTAAAATACCTGTTCACCTGTAAAAAAAATCGTATATGTAAAAAGCGATACCGTACTACCACCACTACTACTACTGCTACTACTCCTACTACTACTACTACTACTACTACTACTACTACTACTACTACTACTTACTACTACTAATACTACTACTACTACTGTTACTACTACTGCTGCTACTGGCACTACTACTTGCACTGCTAGTAGTGCGAGTACTGCTACTGCTACTGCTAGTACTGCTTATGACTTTTCTGATATTTTGGTTGATTGCTCAAGGCCAACCAGCGGACTGCTGGCCAATCAGGCCGCCTGGAGCTGGGCTTACGATCAGTTGCAGGTGGACTACGTGGTTCGCTGCAGGACTTGTGTTCGCAGATGTTCTGAAGGTTGCAGTCCAAAGCAGCGTTGTTGTGACAGCATTGAAATGCTTCTAGATTTGTCAATCATAATGTAATACTGTAGCTAATGCATGTTGGTGTATATTGTTTTGTTCACACTCAATCAATGTTGAGAGACCTGTGGTACATGAGTCTATGATCCGGTAGGCAGTTTGGACACACCGTGCATTTGTGGAGCTGGTATCATCATGCCGGTACCGGGCTGGTACCGTGTTGTGCTTCAAGACTCTCAAGACCGTGGGGTTGGCAAGTCATGACAAGTTGAGGTTACCGTGTCCTACAGCGGCTACAGTTTTTTCTTGGCTGGCAATGAGCACTTGACTACAAGAGCCGACAAGAGCTGTCATCAGTTCAGTTTTTTTTTCCCTCGGTGTCCGGTGTCCCTCTTGTCAAAACATTTAGGTATCACCATGTCTTATTTATATAGATACTTGAACATACAGAACTTGATAGGTTTACAAATATGTTTTCTTCTTCAGGACTGCTTCGCACATGATGTGGAAACGGTATTGCTGCTCTTGGACCCAGATGGTTTGGATCTGGAAGATGTTGCAAAAACGCTAGGGAGGCGCGGCCTAGCCCGCTTGTGAGATTGTTCCTGTGCATGAGCATACCCCTGGTTGAGTCAAATTCGGAATGAATCAGATTGATTGATGTGGAGTTTCCTGATATATTGCTCCATTGCTGATCTTTCCAGGCGTGAACCACCTATACGCCAGCTTTTGGTGCTTCTGGGAGACGACAAAGGTTTGGCTCCTGAAGAACTCCAAGAAGTGATGAACTTCTCGGCAGAGGCAAGGGAAAGAGCTTGGCCCACCCGTTTCACTAGGATTCATCCACAATCCCACAGAGGACTGACGCCTCTAATTTGTATCCATTACCATAGACCCTGTGATTTCTTGGCCAATGGTGTGAGCAGAGCCTGCACTACACAAAGCGATTCATGTGGCACAGTCTGTGTGTTGCACATGTGTCACTTGGCCATTTCAGCTCTCAAAGTTGGTTTGCACTTCAGCCATGGAGGCTTGGCCGGGCCGTTTGACCACTTGCAGAGCGTGCGGCATCGTGTAGTTAGGTCTTGGATGAGACTTAAGTCCCAGGGCATCTATATTGAGAGAGTATTGTATTCTGGTTCTACTAAACTTCGACTGCACCGCCTGATCTGGGGCCTAGAGACTACTAGAGATCCATTGTTTTTCCGAATCTGTAGGAAAAGGATGGAACAGGGTGGAAAAGAAAAGGATGTTTTTGTTTTTGAAACAGGAGCTGCTGCGGGTGGTGCAAGCAGAGCGATTCGAGTTGCAGAAGCTCCTCAATGAAGCGCAGCTGCACAGACGGCCGAGGGAGGGCCGTAGAGGTGAGCTAGTAGTAGCTTAAGTAGCTACTACCTAGGAAGCTTCTAGGGGCTCCTGAGCAAGAAGCTACTAGTACAAAGGGCATCGCTACTAGTAACAAGAAGCTATTAGGGGGTAGGCCGTAGAGGTGAGGTATTGGCTTAAGTAGCTAATACCTAGGGAGCTACTACTTAGGACGCAGGATAGCTCACGCTTCTTCAAGGAAGCCCTAAGCTGGGGAAGCTTCCTTGAACAAGAGCTCGCACTAATGATATCATTGGCTCAGCACAGCCTCATCACTGCTGTTACGAAGTCGCCCGATGGAGCAAGCCCCTGAAGCCGTTCAATTTCATGCCAAGTATAGCTATGCCCACCCATAGCAAGCCATCGTCGAGATCATGTGTGGAGTTGTTTGTTGAAAAAATTACTGGGACGCTATTGTTATTGATAAATCAGGCCTGCATTGAGCAAAGTTTACGCAAAGGATGTGTTACTTGAACGAATCGCATACAAAGATGTCTTTATCTAATGTGTTTCTTGGAGGTCGAAGATAAATTACAGAAATTCAGCGACGCAAATTTGGCAACAGGACAACCAAGCAAAAATCAACGTTGACCAAGCAGCTAGCAATTAGCAGTTTGACACCAATGTAGACTGAAATCTTGGCTCACCAATGGGCCATTGATAAATGTAGCAGCAGCATTCCTACAATGAGGGTCCTACCTATCAAACATACAGTGCCGAAACTGTTCCGAAATTCCCAACAGAGCAAGGTTGGCACAACCTTCGAACAAGTTCCGCCCAAGCGCAGTGTGCGTTGCAACGGGTTGCATGGGCGCAAGGTGTGGCAATGGACGGTCCAAACGTAGGTCTCAATCGGCTCCCGAAGTCCGCAAACGTTTCTCGCACACACAGGGTCGTAGCTAAAGGGGTGCTCAAGGGCCCTGGATAGAAAATGGCCACAACATGACATTAAATGAATCTGAGAAATCCTAAGCACCGCTCCACCCTTTCCTTTTTTTGGAAGATGACACGTCAGTCATGAGCACTGAAACCAACCCAACCTGAACTTTGGCTCAAGAAATAAGTGCGGCAGCTTTTTTAGCTTTTGGTGTCGCACGCTCAGGTTATGAGCCCAAGCGACCTGCCATGTCGTCGACGACGATGAGAAGGAGAAGAGCAGCGAGCGACAAGGCAGCTGCGGAGGCGGCGCCGGTGGTGATCGGCGAAGCGGATCGCCGCCTGGATGCGCAGATAGAGGAAGAGGTGAGGAGGTCGCGATCGGCGGATGTGGGGCCGAGGAGGGCATCGGATGTGGGAAGCACTCCTAGGGGTCCACCAACCTCCTTTCGACCGCCTGTGACTGGGTCCTCGGAGGGCAATCTCAAGGCACTGGAAGATGGAGGAGAGGTGGGCCCAGCAACGCTGAAGTCGGTGAAGACCAGCGAACCGGTTGGGGCACCTTCAACATCGACCAGTTCCACGGTGGGTTTGGGGGCACTTCATGATGCGGTCCAACGAACTTATCATGCACTTCAACAAGCACTAGCGGGACAACCTCAGGGGCAGGGTCTACTTGCGCCTCTTGGACCTGGCATTGATCCGGGAGCTCGAGGAGGGCTGTTTGGTGATGGCAGCGGCTTGATGAATCCACGAGCCTTGGACTATGGACAGGGAGTGGGACAGACACCAAGTAGATCACCCAACATCAATCCCTTTTGGAGTCCTGGTGTTCAGGAGGCTGCGAGGCGGACTTTGGTGGAGGGAGGTCAACCTGGAGGTGAAGGTCTTCTTCCTGGAGGTCATGCGGAAGCACGAACATGTGGGAGCACTCCGGCGGCTGCTGGGGCAGGTGCTGGACCTATGGCACAGGACTCGGGATCGATGTCGCCGGGTCCGGAGGATGTTGAAGCCCTGAGAACCAGAATTCTCCGGGAAGCTGAGGAAGCATTTCAAAGGGAACTTCGTCGACTTGGCACTTCTCGTGAACCAACGGATACGACTTCCTACAAGACGGTCTCAAGTGGTCAACATTTGGGAGACCCTGTACCGGATCAACCCCCTGGACTACCTCAAGGGCGGCACCCATTGTCGAGCTCTACGGTGGACCATGGATCTGGGCAGAAGGTGGTGAGAATTGGTGGTGGGGCCTCGACTGCATCGACGACGGAGGCGTTGAGGAACCTTGAACTTCCTGCCCTACCCTCTCCAAATGTTGAGGGAGCTTCGATCTTGTTTGGGGACTGGCTCACTATGAGTTTTCCCTTGATGGCTGACATTTCGCATAGCGCCAAGGCCTGGCGGGAAGAGTCACTCTCCATTGCGCAGGAGCACTATGCACGTTGGTTGACAATGACACCCCTGGAGCGACTGCGTGCGAAACCAGTGGTGGTGGTTGAGCCTGCACTGCAGAGGATTGAACAAAGGGGCATTGCAATGTTGTTGGGGGCATTGCCTGATCAGCTCCGGCGGGATCTTGTCAGTGGGCGGCAACTCTCGGTGGTCCACATCCTGTACCGCTTACATGTGGCGTACCAGCCGGGAGGAGGGGCGGAAAAAAACGCAACTCCTCAAAAGTTTGGTGGAGACAAAGTTTGCCACGGGGATGGCAGATTTGTTGACACAAGTGAGGTTATGGCGACGATGGCTGACCAGAGCGCAGGAACTTCACCTTACGCTCCCTGACCCTGTGGTTCTCATGGTCACGGTGCAGCGCATGGTTGACAGTGCCACCAAATCAGGAGGCGCTCAGATGGCCTTTCGCATTGCAAACGTGAGGCAAGAATTACGAGTGGATTATGCACCAACGGTGGAAGCAGTGATGGAGCTGTCTGAGTATGTGCAGGCGGAGGTGGAAGAGGTCTCGCTGACGACGCCAATGAAGTCCCAGCCGACAACCGCCACTACCGGAACTGCAGGAAGCCAGACTGTGACATCTGTAAAGGCTATGGCATCATCCTTTGGGGCCACGGAGTTGGAGGATAGGTCTGCACAGAAGCCGGCCTGCAAGTTTTGGAAGAGTGAGGAAGGGTGCAAGCGTGGCACCAATTGCACCTATGCCCATGACACCACGGACATGAAGGGTCGCTGCTTCAATTGCGGAGGACTTCACATGAAGAAGGATTGTCCGAATGGGGCCAGGGGAGTGAAACCGGATGCGAAAAGGGTGGCAAAGGTGAAGACCGCGAAGGACTCCGACAAGCCAGAGACGGGGGAGAAGCCTATGCCAGAGACGGGTAAGCTCGATGATGCACGTGGAGATGGTGGATCATTGCCGACTGCAAGGGCGGAAGTGGTGTCGGACAAGCCTCAAGGCAAGGATGCCACGGCTGAGTTGTTGACGGAGGCCACTTCGCTGTTGAAGGCACTGAGAACTATGAAGATGCTGCGATTGAAGGAGCTGAAGCCACAATGCTCAAATGGTTGTGAAGCGTTGGCTCTCTTGGACGGTGGTGCAACCAATGGCTTACGCCGAGCCCGTCCACATGAAATGACAGGATTGGTTCCTGTCACGGTGGAGTTGGCATCGGGATCTACGACCCTGTTCCGTGTCAAGGAGCATAACACGTTGCTGACCAAGGACAATGTGGAAGTGATAGTTCCATTGCACCGATTAGTGAAGCTGGGCTATAGGCTGCAGTGGACTTCAGCGGGCGTCAAAATCACCCATCCTCAAAGCGGAAGGATTGAATGCGCATTGCGAGGTGGTTGCCCTGTGCTCTCGGAGAAGCAGGCCCTTGCGTTGCTGGACATCATGGAAAAGGAGGACAAGGGGGAATTGATGCTGGACGAGGAGATCCGTAATTGGTGGTCATCACGATTTCCGGACGTGCCTCAGGAAGTGTGGAACCACATGAGGGGTCAGGACCACTACAATCCGGAGGAGTGTCCCTGGAATCGGCGTCAACGACGACGGCATGCTCGCGCACCAGGAGTCATTATTCACCTATATTCCGGAAAGGACACCAAGACCTGGACAGCGGAAGATTGGAATGGCTATGAGATCCTCAACGTGGACATCGCCTTGGGCACCCAGTATGACATGCATGCAGTGGGAACCTGGGGATACTTGTGCCATCTGGCCAGATCTGGACATGTGGTGGCAGTGGTGGGAGGGCCTCCGTGTAGGAGTGTCTCTCGACTACGGCATCGAGAACCTGGTCCGCGGCCGTTGAGAGGAAGAGATGAAAGGCGCTTTGGTTTGGATGGCTTGTCGGCTGTGGAGCAGGACTTGGCCTATGGGGACCTGGCGTTGGTCTTGAAACAGTTTGGACTATGGTTGATGGCGGAGGAGGCCAGGGTGCGCTTGGGAGAAGGTCCAGGGCATCGGTCAATCTCTCCTGCCTATCTGATGGAGTCTCCGAGGGATCCGGTGACCTATATGAAGGAGGAAGCTCTCCAGGAGGACATGCCTAGCTTCTGGAACTTCAGAGAGGTTCGGGACATGATGGAGGTCATGAATGCAAAACTGATCACCCTGGACCAAGGCCCAGTTGGTCATGTCAAGAGGAAACCTACGAGCCTGATGGTTGTCAACATGCCGGACATGGATGAGCTGGATGGCATGACCGGGGATGGGACTGGACAACAAGCTGCAACTACATGGCGAGGGCGGCTATGTCAATCACGAGAATGGTCGACATGGGCACCGGGGCTTGTAGCTGCGATCAAGTTGAGTTTGAAGAGATACCTGGGCAGGCTGCATAGCTCTTCACATCATGGAAGGGATGGACGACCTGCACTTCAACGCATGGACATGGAGGCCTGGAAGGACCATGTGAGGAACCAACATCAGCCCTACAGAAGAGACTGCCGGAGATGTATGGAAATGATGGGCATGGATGCACCCCATCGCAGAACTCGGGGGGATAGAGCGGCCTATTGCCTGTCCTATGACATCGTGGGTCCTATGCCAGAGGGTGAGGATGTGGGGTTGGGAACCAGAGCCAAGTATCTTCTGGTTGCAACCGTGGCAATTCCGAGGCTGCCTAGAGAAGACCTGGATGATGAAGAAGCAAGGGAGCTGGATGGAGAAGAGGGCGATCCACTGCCTATAGGGGAGGAGGATGAGGATGAGCGTCCAGTTCCTGATGATGAGCAGGTAAAAAGGTTGAATAGAGCCTGGGAGGACTACATCAAAAGCCTGGGAGAACCGGTGGGTGTGCAGAACATCACGTTGGTGGAGCCATTGGAAAGCAGGTCACAGGTGGATGTCACCAAGGTTGCCACTCGGATTTTCTGTCGGTTCAAGGCGATGGGAGTCAACATGCTCCGGGTACACACGGATAGAGAGTGTGCCTTTCTATCGAGATCTTTTCAAGCCTTTTGCCGACGGTTTGGACTATATCAAACCATGACGGGCGGAGATGAAGGACCGTCCAACGGCCGGATTGAGTGTGAGGTCAAACAAGTGAAACGACGTCTTCGCCTCCTCATCAAAGAGAGTGGTTTGGAGCAGAAATGGTGGCCGGGGATTGCCCGCTACGTGGGAGAAGAGAGACTTCGACGGCAATGCTCTAGTCTTGGTGTTCCATCTACAGCACTTTTGCCGATTGGGGGGAGAGTCACAGTGAAAACCAAAAGGTGGCACAGAGCAGGATTCGGACCTTTAACGGCGCCTTTTCGAACTATGACCATCATGGGTCCATCTCCTTTCATGTCACAGGGCCATGTCTTGATGGAGGGTGAGCAGATCCAACATGCTAGGGTGGTGGTTCAACAAGATCCAGGCGCAGAACGAGCAGTTCTAGAACTGCAAATGGTTCCAGATCCTGAAAGGCCACAGCATAGATTGACAGGGAAGCAACCAATGGAACCAATGCTTCCCCAACTTCCGCCTCCAAGGTCATCGCCCGATCCTGGACTTCATCGACTACATGCTACTTCCGGGGGAGAACCAGTCCAGGTCTGGACTGGGGGGGAGTCCTTCTCTGCTGTATGCAAGGAGTGTGGTCTACAATGTGCGGATGGGGGCTCAATGAAGAAGATGGAAGAACGAGAATGCTGTGACTTCTGCGAAACCCCGTTGGAGCGGCTTGAGGAGAAGGCTGTGAATGGCACCATGGAGTGTGGAGTTGAGGAAGCCTATAACTTGACACGGTGGATACATGAAGAACATTGGGGCTGGAAACAGCTATGGAGTGACCTGTTGAAGGATGTGGTGGTGGGTGAAGAGGATGGACTATTGCGAGGAGCGCTGATGGACTACCTTGAGAAGAATGTCCTGGCCCTGGAGAATGAGCTGACAGAGATCAGGGATTTTGACCTGGGTTATCAAATGGCCAAGATGGCTGAAGGGGTGGTTGGGAAATGCCCTGATGGTGAGCAGCAATCTCCTCTGAGTGTCCATGCCGTATTACAGACCTACACTGTCCCTTTGGCGCAGGTGAAGAAGGAGCTGAAGGATTGGATTCCCTCACTGGAGTATGAGGTGAACTCCTTGGAACGCACCACGAAGGCTGTTCGGCCGGTGTCAGTCCGAGATCTATGTCATGAGCCGGGCTACGAGGAGATGCTGGTTGTGCCGTCGAAACTGGTGCCGACGGTCAAAGCACCGGATGGAAAGAAGAGATCAAGAATAGTCCTATGCGGCAACTTGGTGGAGGATACTGCACGACGAGCAGGACACTCTCAGGCTGTGAAAGAGGACAAACAAGTGAATCCCTCCGCAGGAAGATCATTTGAATTGTATGCCAGTGGCATCGATGGAGGATCGCTGAGGTGTGCATTGAGAAAGGCGGCTTATGAACAGTGGTCGATAGGTATCACTGACGTCTCCTCGGCCTTCTTGTTGGCACCTCGGAAGTCACCTCGGCTCATGGTCACCAAGCCCCCGGCGATTTTGGTTGAAGCTGGACTGATCTCTGCGGACACACGTTGGGTGGTAGAAGCAGCAGTGTATGGTCTGGACAGCTCACCCTCGGACTGGCAGGCGTACAGAGATGATGTTCTCCGCAGTCTACGGTGGTGGGAGTCAGGTGTGCACTACTGGATCAATGCGACGCCAGAGCCAAATGTGTGGAGATTGATGACTGCGAATGGGGCAGAAGGGGACTATGTGAACGTCATGGAGGAGGGTGAAACATCGGGGTTTGCTCTATCCTACGTGGACGATTTCATTGTCATGGGCCCACAATCAGTCGCACAGGCCGTTCTGACGAAGTTGGCGTCGACCTGGAGATGCTCTACACCGACGTGGGTGGTCTCGTCGGAGTGGAGGAAGTTTTGTGGAGTGGAGATGAAGTGGAATGGAGCAAACCTCATGATTGGCCAGCCGGACTATGCTCGAGAACTTGTGACCCGGCACCCTGACCTTCCACTGAGGTACTCACCGCTTCCCAAGATGATTGAGCTTGAGCCCGAGGAAGTCATAGACCCCACGGATGTGAAGCAATGTCAAACTCTGGTGGGGGAACTCCTGTGGCTGTCGACTCGGACTAGACCTGATCTCAGCTTCGCTGTTGCTTATTTGGGTGCAAGGGTAACCAAATCCCCTAAGGGTGTGCTGGAGCTGGCGAACCATGTTGTTGGATACTTGGCTGCAACCCCAGATCTGGTGCTGGAATACGGACCTTGTTCGCCTGAGCTTGACCGACATGGCCGTAGGCAGTCGCTGGCTCGCCTGGAAGTGCTGACCGATTCCTCGTTCGCTCCTGCTGGAGGTCGTGGTCATCAGGGGATCATGG